TCTCTCTCTCTTTCTCTCTCTCTCTTTCTCTCTCTCTTTCTCTCTCTCTCTCTCTCTCTCTCTCTCTTTTTTTTTTCTCTCTCACCATTTTTATTACTTTTCATCTCCGTCTCATATACAAACACGCACACAAATACATACACGTTTGCACACAAACACACATACACAAATACAAGCCCACACACATACACACTGACACACACAAAGACACAAACACCCTCACACCCTCCCTCCCTCCCTCTCCCTCTACCCTCCCCGCACTCCCTCCACCTCTCTCCCTCACTCATTCCCTCCCTCCCCTCACTCCCTCCACCTCTCTCCCTCCCTCCTTCACTCCCTCCCTTTGTCTATCCAGGACACTGAAGATGCCCTCCGTGACGCCGAGAACAAGCTGGCTAACGCCAACGCTGCCCTGGAGAAACTCCGCCAGGACATGGAGGCCAGACTTAGGGAGAAGGATGAGGAGATCGAGAACATCAGGTGAGCCTCGCAACTGCATAAGGTCATATTAGAGACAATTATTTTGTTTACTTTATCAGACTTTCGTTTTTGTTTGTTTGGTTTTGTTTGTTTATTTGTTGTTGGGGTTTTTTTGTAGAGTTTTTTTTTATGTTTGTTTGAGTAAAAGTACAAACGTTGTATAACGTTGATGAACGAGTAAAGAGATGTACATCGACGCAGTAACTGTTTTTTAGTGGTGGGGGGAATAAAGAGTAAGACAAACAGAAACAACAAACAAGCATCATCAGTATTATTATCATTATTTCTTTCTCTTTTTGTGTTTTGGCCTTCCTACACATCGTTAGGGCCACTGTGTCCTCTTCTGGGTTGGAGTAAGAAAAACAAAGGTTGTACAATGTTTGTACGTTTACGAAAGGTCGTGGATTACGATTGGCTTCTGAATGGTTTAGTCTCACGGGCATGTCTTTTGCAACAGGAAGAGAGTGAAAGAAAATGAGAGAGAAAGGGGGAGACTGAGACACAGAGAGAGAGAGAGAGAGAGAGAGAGAGAGAGAGAGAGAGAGAGAGAGAGAGAGAGAGAGAGAGAGAGAGAGAGAGTGAAAGATGAAACGAGCAAGGAAAAATAACAGCAGGTTGCATCGAACACATCTGCTTATCACAGACTCGTATGGTCTAGGCCGTATTGCCCGTCCGTTTCCGATAATAAAGGTTTCTCTCACCATACGACCCCGTATGGCATTTAATAATCAGGATGAGCTTCGCCAGAGATCCAGGTGCTACTACAGATCCTTGCACAGGCTTCTGGCAATCATACACCAAGGCAGATAATCTCTTGACAGCTGAGATGTCCAAGCTTGTCCATAAGAGAGAGAGAAATTATTTTGCTAGCGTAAGAGTTTTTTTTTACCGGTATTCATTCTGATACGATCAATAGAGCAGCGAGGACGCGTTTTAGGACGGTCATTGGCGTTTTTATTTCGTGTTTTATATAAAAGTTTACAGTCTTTTCTCCCTCTGAGGTGGCTTATTATTGAACTTTGTTAGGATAACTTAAGGCGTGGTAATACTATTCTGGGGAAAATGGAAAGCTATTACAGTCTGGGAAGTTCAGAAAGGAAAATATGCGCTGTTAGTGCCAGTGAAAGATCTAGCGATGTCGAGACAGAAAGGTAAGGTTGCTTTAAATAATCATCTCGGACAACGCTGTGATTGAAACTGCTTTTTGGAATTCTGGGCGTTTTTTCGCTTTGGATTGAGAAACGTTTTGATGTTTTGTTTTTATTTCTTAAACTGACCAAGTAATTATGTAACTTCTTGGGGCTTTTTGGAGAAGAAAAATAGGTGTAAGGTTATTTTTACCAATTGTCAAGTACTCATTTATCTGTGTATGCTTTGGGTAAAATTAATAGGGTAAAGAAGCTGCCTTAAGGATGCCTTGCTCTCTCCTGGTCGGAGGCAGAAATCAAACTCATATCTTTGTAAAATTTTACGTTCAACGGTTTATGATCAGACCAGGCTGCTCGTCGTCAATAAATAACGAATGATATGACAAATGGTCACTTATTTCATTGTTCCCCGTTGGAATATCTATATTGCGATAGCAAGTGCGATACACCTCTGACTTTATGGTTGGCGTCTTCCTATCGTGTGTGGGTGTATGTGTGCTGATGAATGCGTTGCATGTATGTATTTACCTCGCTGAAGTATTTTTTTTCGTTGGGGAGAACTCGCCTCTTCTAAACGTATACTTATCTCACCTCACCCCACCTCACCTCCTCTCTGTATCTCACCTCACCTCACCTCACCTTCCCTCCTCTCCTCTCTGTATCTCACCTCCCCTCTATCACTCTCCCGCCCACAGACGTAGCAGCGCCCGCGTGATCGAGGAGCTGCAGCGCACCCTGGTGGAGGTGGAGACCCGCTACAAGTCGGAGATCAGCCGCATGAAGAAGAAGTTCGAGTCCGACCTGCGCGAGCTGGAGGGTGCCCTGGACAATGCTAACCGCGCCAACGCTGAGTACCTCAAGCAGATCAAGTCTCTGCAGGCCCGCGTCAAGGTCAGTGCACCGAGTGGGGTTAATTTAGGGTCAAGGCCACGGCGCTGTAGGGGTTACTTTAGGGTCAAGGACACTGCGGTAAGGGGTTCATTTAAGGGTCAAGGCTACTTCACTATGAGGTTACTTAGGGTCGAGGCCACTGCACTTTAGGGACCACTTTAGGGTCAAGGTCAAGGCCCTTTAGGGGTTACTTTAGGCTCCACAGAACTGCATTATGCGGGTCATTTTAGGGTCAAGGGTGCTGCGCTGTTGTGTCACTTTAGGGTCAAGGGTGCTGCGCTGTTGTGTCACTTTAGGGTCAAGGGTGCTGCGCTGTTGTGTCACTTTAGGGTCAAGGGTGCTGCGCTGTTGTGTCACTTTAGGGTCAAAGGAAACTGTGGTGTCACTCTTGCAAAATCTACATGATCTGCTTGAAAAAATATGAATTTACAGAAATGATTTCACCTGTTCTTAAATAGCCTAAATTGAGCTTAGGTGATAAATTGTATTATTAAGTTAGTTCTAAACGAATCGATGATGACGATGACGATGATCATAATGATTATGGTGATAATGATGACGATAATAATGATGATGACGATAATACTGTAATGTTGGAAATGATGTGCAAGGTTAATCTAAAACGAAAACCTTGTTCTTGTATGTGTATGTTTATGTGTTTGTGTCTGTGTGTGCGTTCCAGGAGCTTGAGACTCTTCTGGATGAGGAGCGCCGTAACACCGATGAGCTGCGCAACCAGCTGTCTCTGTCCGAGAGGAAGAGGCTGGCCATTACCCAGGAACTGGAGGATGCCCGCTCCCTGCTGGAGGCTGTGAGTTACTGTGTCTGTCAGGACGAGAGAGGGAGGGGAGGAGAGGGAGGGAGAGGGAGGG